AAATTATCACTGGCATGGTCTTATGGAGATTATCGCTTAAAACTTAAATCAGCAAAACTATTGAAAAGTAGGGAGATTGAGCATTTGTTAAATCCTTCATGTGAATAACCATAAGCTTTTTCCTAATGCCTTAATTCGTGTAATTTAACGATTGGAAATATTATGTTTACAATAATTAGACTTAGTTTTGAACTGTCATAATTCTTAATGAAAATGATAGTGGAATTTTATCATCCTGATTTTGCATATTTACACTTCTGACAGAGTGTAGATGGTCATACATACCACATGCCATGCACTCAATATAGAATAACAGCTTCGTCAGACAATTTTTTCCTTTTATCTAGTACTTCATACTTGACATAAATGTTTGGATCTGGGCTAACCCACAAAATACGACCACTATTTTCAAGATACAAATGATCAAACATTACTAAATTGATATCTACTATATTCAGTATCCAAGTTATAACTCTCAGGGTAACCTAGGGGAAATCTCTGGACGCTATCAAGGTTAGTCTTAATAAATGAAATAAACTGAGCATGGATCGGATTGATAATAATTATAAAATAAAATAACGTATATGTAATATCTCGATTAGTAAGAAACTGAATTTCTGACGAGTAAGTCATTTCTTCAGAAAATAAATAACTAAATCAAAAATGGTTAAATAGTACAAAGAAACAAATCAATGATTTAGTTCACGCAAAAACATGTCATTCAGACCAAAAGTGATTCGATAAGATACATGAATTTGTGTATTCATGTGCATCTGAGTGGGTGTGAAAAATATGTATGATACAAGTAAATATAAATTTGTATATTAACAGTGGATTTAAGCAAATTAAACGTAACTATTTTGGAAAATGATGCCGATCGGTCAGACAGCTATGTCTTCCTTCCTATATATATTGATGCCAACTGGATAGTTAAAAATAACATCTAGTGCTATTGTTAATGTGATCAATAGATTCTAAAGTGCTGTGGAATTTTTACAAGGTCATCGGGAGGAACTAAGATTTCGCTAGAAGACCGCTCAATATAAAAGACATCACAATAGACAACTTAATCTGTAGACGAAATTCTGTGGAGAGGTAGTTTATGAACGTGTAATGTTTAATAGAATCATTTTGTAAATAACGACTGTACAATTTAAATAGAAAGTGTGAATAATGATAGAAATCACAATATAAGTCTACGTTAAACATCTTCACACTTTTAATCTATTCAAATATTTTGAAGGGTTGCTTGTTTTATGGAATATTTCAGTTCTGTGTAGTTTTAAGATTTTTTACAGATCTCATGACGATAAAGTCAAACTAAGATCCCAATCTACAATTAAACTTTTATCCAAAAACAAACCGTCCAATTTTAGTATATTCTTGTGTTCCTTTAGTTTATTTAATTCTACCGATAAATTTGATAACTTTTCAGAATAAATTAAGACCCAGTGAGAGTTTTGTACTAAAAGGATATGTAAAAACAAAGTCAGAATACTAATTTGAAAGTATCGGTGTACCTTAGATATACTTACTTACTTACGTCTGTTACTCCTAATGGAGCATAGGCCGCTGACCAGCATTCTACAACCCATTCTGTTCTGGGTCTTCATTCACAGTTCCATCCAATTCTTGTTCATTTTTCTCATGTCTGTCTCCATTTCCCGGCGTAATGTGTTCTTTGGTCTTTCTCTCCTCCTTTGACCTTGAGAATTCCGTGTGAGGGCTTTTCTTATGACGCAGTTGGGTGCTTTCCTCAATGTGTGTCCTATACACTTCCAGCGCTTCTTCCTGATTTCTTCCTCCTCTGGGATCTGGTTTGTTTTCTCCCACAGTAGGTTGTTGCTGATATTGTCTGGCCAACTGATCCGAAGTATTTTGCGTAGACAGCTGTTATTAAATACTTGTATCTTCTGGATAATGGCTTTCGTAGCTCTCCAGGTTTCCGCACCATACAGTAGAACTGTCTTAACATTTCTACTGAAAATTCTGACCTTGGTGTTGGTTGCCAATTGTTTTGAGTTCCAGATGTTCTTCAAATGTAAATATGCTACTCTTGCTTTGCCGATCCGTGCCTTCACATCTGCTTCAGATCCACCGCGTTCTTCAATGATGCTGCGATAGAAGAACCAGATCATCTACGAAGTCTAGATCATCCAGCTGCATCCTGGATGTCCACTGTATCCCGTACTTTCCTTCAGATGTTGACGTCTTCATGATCCAGTCGATTATCAGAAGGAAGGGAAAGGGTGAGAGTAAGCAACCTTGCCTTACGCCGGTCTTTACTTCGAACGACTTTGTCAGCTGTCCTCCATGAACGATTTTGCAGTTTAATCCATCGTAAGAATTTTGTATGATATTGACTAACTTCTGAGGCACGCCGTAGTGTCGAAGAAGCTTCCATAGGGTTGTTCTGTCCACGCTATCAAATGCTTTTTCGTAGTCAATGAAGTTGATGTAGAGCGATGAATTCCATTCAATTGATTGTTCCACAATGATCGTACGTTAGATATAGTTCCAGTTAAATTTTTTCTAGCTAAACAGTTTAAAAATGGTAGCTCATATTGTTCATCGTCATTTCCAAATTCGAATCTGCTCTTAACTAAAAATATGTTTACTGGGTTAATAAAGATGTTTCTCTGATATATTTTCAATCTATCAAATCTACATTTGTCTTAACGACACTATAAGCGTTTTATTTTATCATGAGTCAATTTCAATCACAACCGGATGAAGAATAGTGGGACATTTAAAAAAGTAGTGATCTATACGAGAAAATGTAAGCTAAACATATTCTTTTAGTCACTACTGTTGCGCACTTTCCTATCACTATTGGTGATCACTGTCTTACTCCCAACATGGCTGAACTTCACCGGTCACAACTTCCAACTAGGAAATCATCTTGAAGCAAGCCTTTAATTAGCGTATGACTATATTATTGTAGAAAAGTCTAGCGGAATAAATAGATGAGCACTTTCCCGGAAAGATGTCTAGAGTTCCTTGGATTTAATGTCCCCACAAAAAAAGTCACTGTGAAAAATATCAGCTGCAGGATTGGTCCACTTCAACACCTAGAGTGATCGTAAGGATTGGGGTAGTGGGAGTTCGTCGACCACTTCTTTTTTATAGGAAATCTAATCAGCTTTAGTTGATTGGTCCTCGACGAAATCTCAGAACAGATCCATAAATCTAGCTTGGCTATCGTAAGATTATGATGTTGGATAAGCATTCTACTCGGTCGTTTTGGAACATGATATGCGAAGGTAGAAGACATTCGTAAAAGGCCAGTTCTTGATCATTGGTGTTTAATAAGCGCCCTGAGTGATATAGATCAGCATCCATCCCAATAGCCCTAATGCTATCACTCGTTATAATTTTCTAGACTTGGAATTTTCAGTCAGCTACAACGTAGGACTAGGCATATATGCATCGGTTCAAGTTGCCATACCTCATTAGGACAGCAAGATGAACACCGCATTCATAGAAGTAGTTAATTCAATGGTGGCAATTTTAAAATTATTTCATTTCACAAATCAATTTTTTGTTATCGAATCATATTACATGTCTACATTAAATATATAATCACTGATACTTCCAGTACTTTGGCACTCATCTTGGTAACTTCAGCCTCGTATGATGTGACAGCTTGGACGGATGAAAAATATCCCAAGCTCTAAAATATCACTATATACCTGAAAAATTAAATTAGTCCACATAAGAAACTTTCATAGCAGTAGGCAGGATTATTTTATGAATAAACCACTGTTCTATTAATTTAAACAATCAAGGCAAATGAAAAAAGGACTAAACTGAAAAAAAAACGAATTTGAGAGCTCAAAATCCAATTATACAATTAAGTCGATCATATTAAATTAACTCGCTTTCAAAAAATCAATAAAGTAGACACATATCATATATGTTCTTTGACCATAACTTGCCAATCAACCAAATTAATGTTTCGATCTTAGGGTAATTTCAACCGAAATAATTTCAATGTCTATGTAAATTAATATAGCTAATCATGGTGAGTTTTACTGGGCATTTTATTTCCACTCGAGAATAGTTGAGACGTATATTAACAAATCATATCCACACCTACTGCATATTATTTAATTTGAAAATCATTGTTTTGTAGTAGGTAATACATTTTTTCAATATTCAACGGTTAAGGACAATTGGCATAAAAATCGGGCCTAGTTTCCGTCCTATCTGGCACATCGAGTGTCGAAACGCACGTCCTCGATTCCATTGCTAGCCACCATCCATCTTTGCTTATTGATGTCCGGTTTCAAACTCGACAAGAATGACATCTTAAGAATTTATGACGTCTTATCGAAACTATATACTATGATACAATAGCACTAACTGAGCAAGTATTCTGAAAGACATTTTAGTGGAAAAATTTTCACTTAACAGAAAAATGTATTGTAAATTTCCTCAATTCGACCTTGAACTTGAATTAGTACATTTAATCAAGTGATTATTTTAAGGTGAAATATCTTTTTTATAGTTGTTATACTCTACAATTTAAAGACTGATACTAGTTAGTTCAGTCGTTCTTTTAAAATCTAAAATTTCAGAGAAAACTTATGAAATTCTATTGATTATTTTTACCTTTGAAAAATAAATGTCTCCTGTTCAGTTTTGAAATCAGCAAATGTTAATTATTCCATGCATGGAACCGATAATTCTTAATAGTGACATCGATTTGGCATCAGTTATCAAATAAATGTGACAAGTTAATTCATAAAGCTACAAACTATCGTCAAGTTGGATAATCGACATATGTTTTGCTCACACCCCTTAGTAGCCTATACTGCGTGACACATGAGTAGCTTCTGGAACGATTAGTCACAATGGAACATGACAACAACCATCAACTTTTAATAGAAACTTGCCGGTTTTCATCTGCCAAATAATTGTATTCTACGACAATCAACAAATTTATCCTTAAAATCTAAGTATTCACTCAGCATAATATATAGGAGAAATAAACAAATAACATGAATAAATACATGTATATAACGAATAGTTATGTATGTGCGCTTTCACAGTTTAACAGAACTGAATCAAACCATTAGCACAAAATATACATATTAAATTATTACACCATAACACAATAAGTGGATCTTCATAGAGTTTAAGGAGAAACAATTAAAATAAAGATGTTAAATCATAACACAATAGGAAGTTAAAACAAAAATTAATTCAAGAAGGAAATGTTTAAGGGGAACAGAAAATCTACTTAACCTTCATTAAGTATACTGGTAGTAAAGAAAAAAAAAACAATGATTTTCTTTTAGAAAAAAATATTATTAGTAAAGAAAAAAAAGTTGAATAATAAATTTAACTTTGGATAGTAATAATTGATCGATTAGTTAAACAGATAAATAATTCATCGATTATAAATTACTCTCAAAGATAGTGCTCTCTTTCTATTATCATAATTAGTTAATTGGTTCGAACTTTTAATAATTATTCACATTTTTGAAATATATAAATAAAACAACAAAAAGCACAGAAAGAAACGAAAGAAAAAAAGAGGGGAAAATAAATGTGAAACAATCAACAGGTTTTGTAAAACAATGAAATTGTTAATGATAGATCATAGTGATGTTGAAATCGTTTTTAAAATTGATTAATCTGATTACAAAATTTGTTCTCTTTTTTTAAAAAAAAAGGATTCAATGAAAAGAAGAAAATACACTATACTCAGGCATAAGCCGATTAATTTATTACTACTATTCAACTATAAAGGCACCAGAAAAAAGAGATGAACAACTTCGTTCCCTTTTTACATAATCATCATTGAACCTTTAAGATATATTATCACAAGGAAAGAAAGTATAATAACATAAACATACTTTAAAAATTATGTTCTGATTAAATTCTGAATCATTTGAAGGAATTCCTGATACGATGGAGCTGATTCTGTTTTATCTTCAACCATACAAGATAGGAAAAGTGATCTCAGATTTGACGATGAATCATGACGCATAAGAATTAAAGCGTTATTAATTGGTCGACGTCTACGAATCAGGTTTATTAGAGCAGATAACCTACGACGACCAATTGGAATAGAAGTATTATCATTAGTAATTGTATTTTGTTTTTCATTAGATAAATTAATGGGTGGTAATATGAAAGGACCACCTTGTGCAGGAAGTTGACGTGGTGATGAAATACCAAGAAGTTGACGTAAAATGTCAGAATCATTGTTTGATCCTGGAGAAACATCTTCACCACAGCCAACTAATAGTAATAAAAGTTCACCAGTATCCAGTAAAAATACACCAGATCGTGTAATATATTGAGCTGATAAGTGTAATTGACATGGTAATTGATCAGCTTCTGAATTACTTTCACTTCCATTTGAAGAAGATGTTCCATCACAATCAGAAGGACGTTGGTCGTCATCATGATCAACTAAACGAAGACTAGCAGCTTTTTGTGCAAGGGTTGTATGAGAAGATAAAGGTTTTGAAACGAAACGATGTACGGCATATAACTTTGGATACATTAAAGTTAATAAATCAGTAGGAGGAGAAGTTTTAATTCGCTCTAGAGCAGCTGATCTATCATCTAAACGTGTTATTACTCCAACTCTGAAAGCTTTAAAACGAAGCAAACCACAAATATACAAAGGAAGTAGTCGTAGATTCGGTGGACAAGGTAGACCGTAAGCTGTTGAGTTACTATTAAGTGTAATACCAGAAGTGGTAGCATATGCTGATAAAGCATCTGCTACAGCATTCGCTAAAGCTTCTCTAGCGTTTGAAAGACCAGAAGATATAGTTCGATCAACAGCCATTTTACTTAGAAGACAAGCTATTGCACCTTGATCTGCTCCTTGAAATACTTCAGTTGCTGTGTGTACAACTGGTAAGCACAAAGTATGGACACGAATGCGACGATCACCTTTAGATGAAGTATATAACACAGCAGCCTATGAAAAGCAAATAATAGTATGGGTTTATTTAAATATTTACAAGTTTTATTATTTCCATACTTATCTATAATTTAAACAAATCTAACAACACTAAATCATTTTAAAAAGAAATAAAGATATAATCTCGAGCACCTTTAAATACGTGTAATTTTTTCTATTGAGTTTCGACTAAATAAAGTTACGATTACAGTTTACGAGTCTCAAGTAAAGCTGTTATCAATGAAATGGACATAATTGTATATATAGCATTTCAATAAATGGTTATACAATAAAACACAACATTTAATGATAACGAGTCGAAATTACATATCACACTAATGTTTAGATTACAGTATAGTTTAGTGGATACTATAATGAAATCAAGATTACTGAACTAAAAATTTCATATTAATTCAAGCAGTGATTTCTTAGAAGAAATTCAAGTTTAAACCTGATTAAAACCTGGCAACTTCATAAACTATACCGTAAATATATTATTATTATTATTATTGTCTAAATATTTTAAAAAGATGTAAACTAAAGAATCGGTCTCAAATAAGTGGGATTTGTTAATTAGTTCAGTATGAAGTGAGAAATTTACAGCACAACCAATAAGTAGTTGACATCAATAACAAAATACTTTTATATTTTAACTTCGCATATAAATTGTTTACTGTAACACCAATGGTGAATTTTAACGACAAGTAGATAAAAAGAAAATACCACGTTATCTCATCATGTGATTACTATGTGTAGTAAACGTAGAATGGCATTCTTAACAAGTATCAGACAAAATAAACATTTGAAACAAGTCTTTCAATATAAAAGAAAATTAACAAATAGTTTCAACACTATTGTGAATTATATACAGAATAACTTATTCCACAAAATAGTAAGGCGTAGTGAAAAACCAATAAAAATAAGTGATTCACTAAAAGATCAAAGATTAGATATTAGAAATAAATAAAAGTACAAACATATACACACAGCGACAATGGACAAAACTGACACAAATGAACTTCTGTATCAGCTTATATAGTCAAAAAACTAAGTCAGACCAATTAATGAAGGAAGTTGTTGACATATACTATGATAACAGATTTTATAAATTGAGAATAGGAAGTTATTCAAGTAGAAATGACTCATTTTCATTCATAATAAAATGACTTCTAAGAATTACAACACCATCAAAACTTGTTTTTCAGTAAACAAACCATAAGGAATAATCATAACAAAACAGTCGATCTATAAGTTGGCGACACAATCATACTTTTTAATATCATTAGTGCAAGACAGAACACAATCGAAATAAGATTTTTAGCGTTATTCAACTCATTTTTATACCAGGCAGTATTGTACGTCGGGACAGTCTGTGGCTAGCTAAAACATGTCCTATCACCTCAGTCAATAAAAACGTATAGCCTCATCAATCAGTTGGTGTTTTCCTTTTATCTAGAATCATGCTTAACCTCAGAATTAACCACTCAGTGGTCCCATAATATGAGGGTAAATAATAAACATTAAAATAAAATACTATTATTGGAAGAAATTTCCAATGAGATGTTGATGAAACTGTACTGTACAAAGTGGAAAAAGATGTGAATCAATAGTTAACTGTGTTTCTTATTCCCTTGTATGTTTTTATTTGCAAAAAAAACGATTGCGTTATCTTTATCCACCAAACAATTTTGATCCCTAGTTTAGCAACGTCTTTTAGTGCAATGAGTTCGAAACAATCAAGCTCTTTTGGTATAATACGTTTTGACAAAATCTATTATTACGCAGTTTGTTAGTGAGAACAAAGATAAGTTTTTCGTCCCATTTGAGATTTGACAGTTTGGTATGGACTTGTACTCTGACAGTCACTGGTGTTTACGCTGACCCAAAAAACCAACGTTATCTGTTAAGACAACCGCCCTGAACGACTTTCAATAAAATGGTCGATTTTAACAGAATAGTATATCGTTTACAGTATGAGATTGGTGATAGATCTTATATTGCTGTGACGCCCTGGTACGGCCGAAGGTGGGGAGTGTCCACTCTCATTCTCGAAATGCTTTCACAATGCCACATGCATACAATCACTGCCAGGGAAGTCCCACTCACTGCCTTCTCGTGGCGTGGTGTTGTTTACGAAATTGAGAGGACGAAAAGCGAATGTCCGGCGCTTTAACCGGGCCGGTGGATACGCAGGATTCACATGGAGGAGTTGGAAAACCATAGTTCCAAACCAATGGTGTACATGGGCTCCAAGATCCTGAGAGAACAAATGGTGTATGAACCAATTATTGGTCGCTGGCTACCATGAGACTACATCTCATCACGTCGCTCCACTGCTTTAAGGATTAGACCTTTAGGTTGAAGGCTCCGGGTGTGACTGACTAGGAAAACCACCTGCTTTTGTCTGGGCACCCAGGCAGTACCACAGCCCACACACAAATCAAGGGACTTGTGTGGCACATATGTATTCGGTGCCCCGTTATAACAATATTTATGTGTTCAAATAATATAATAATAATGCTTTGACAGATGTTTTCATCGAAGTGATCATGCCATAACCGTTTCTTCTATTAGTAGAATTACTGGAATGATTTTAACTAATTTCATTAGTTGGTATCGAGCAAAAACCTTATTAATGTGTGGTCTGTATTTTGTTAGTTTAGCTGATTTTAAGGATGTGATCCAACCACCAATTCTATCACATTCAACACCATAATAATCTGCACCAGAATTTTAATTTAGAGACACGGTTAAAAATATCTGAATCAGTAGAAGTCAGAAAAGAATTTAGGTCCATAGTGGAAAAATAGCGGGCAAATAATGAAAAATTATTCGAAATACGTTTTAAATGATTAACTAACCTGGCAACAGACTGTAGCACATTTTTCTAAGTTTTCAGATAAATCTAACTGGACAGCATAACCAGAATCAGGGCTCACATTTGGTAAAGCAATCAAGTCCGTAGAACGTACAAAACATGAACCATGGAAAGTCTATGGTGAAAGAAAAAACCAGTATTATGAAAAAGGCTGGTATTTTGCATTTTAAAAGGAAACGAACATGTTAACATATGTTTTCTGATATGCGGTGTAGACAGCAAAGCCATGGAAATAAACTGATTGTAAAATGTTTGGAAAATGGTATGAGTTTGAGAAGACATACAAAATTTCCAATTTCTCTATCTAAAGCAAAAGAGAAGCGGAGATACCGCAAAGATTCATTCATCTAGATATGAAACTGCCAAATTGTACATACTTTTAAAATGTAACCGAAGTGTTAATGATCAGAGCTTTAAAAATGAGCACCTGCAAAATCCTAACCAAATCTGCATGTTGACTGCCACTATCTATCTTACTTTTATTAAAAAGAATGGTTTTCTCCAACATCACAAAAATGATTTTTCTGTATTTTAAGTGACCAGTTAAAAATACAATAATCAGACTAATTTCCACCTTCACTATTCTACGTGTTTATTTACATATTCTTTTAACGGTTTTTCGACATTATACCTGAAATACTCGATAAACTACAGAAAAATAAAATGAAGATAAATTAAAAGTAGTACACTTGTAGTGAACGAAGACTTGGTGTGGATATCCAATTTATTGTTTAATACAAAATTACAGACTGTCTTCGTAAAATATGACAGCTATACATTAAATACATCCTTTGCACATCTTCCATCAGTTGTCTTACAAACTTCATAATTCCGTCATTCCTGTTGCTTTCAATTAAATCTCCTCAATTTTCTGTTGCCAGACATTCCCCTTGTGACTGATGTTATATACTACTTATATGTCAACATAAGTAGCATGCACCACACACTGACAAAACAACAGTATACAGAAAATGTTTTTAAACTATTAGCTAATAATACTAACCTGAATAGCTAAACCTTGAGTACATCGAATACGCATAACAGCTTCAAATCCAAGTTTTCTGGTTAAATACCGGTCGAAATCTCGACGAAATTGTTCCACTCCAACACATACATTTTTTTGTTTATTACTATCATCTGACGTAACATTAATTGTTTTACCATCAGTGTGTAATATAGGTTCATCCTCATCTGGTGTATAATAAAAGTCTGGATAATGATGAACTGTTCCACTTGAATATCGACTAGCTCCAGATATTGTGGCAATGTCACAATATTGAGAATTGAAAATAAACATATCAACTCCTACCTAGAATTTCAAAAATAAAAGAATATACAATATGGACAAGCACAGACAAGTTTCAGTAAGGCATAATAAATATCTAGTGGACTAAACAATTATCGAGAATAGCTGGTTTATTTTGAGATATGTAAATACTCTTATTTATTTCATCATATAATTATTCATCTGGTCTCGTAGAATTATTAAACAAAGACGAATATCATCTATCACACGGTTATTTTTGCATTTTATTTGGTTAAAAAAATTTCATCCCGTATCGTCCAATGAAATGATTAATTATAAAATGGTAATTATTGTCTATTTTCTGAAAAGTGATATAAAAAGTAGATACTCTTCGAATGATCACCTTTTCTCCAAACTACGAACGTGACTTACAAAGTACTAAATGTATTGTTTCGAGAGTTCTGATCATTATCGGAAATTAGGAAAGGGAAACATGGTGCCGTTAAGCAGATGCATCAGAAAGATGCCCCAAACACTGTTGAGATTATCCTTAACAACTGAGCTTCCTATCGAAGCCCCCACTTCTATGGATGAAGAAATACCAGGAATTCAACTGACAAATATTACCAACTATCGAATGAACGTGGATTTAGACGCAACGCTAAGTCATGAAGATGATTTGTTTTCATAAACTCGGAAGAATTGAACGACAGATATAACAACATAGACGAAGATGCTCACGCCAACGGACTATGTGACATATACAACCTTGCTCAGCCGCCAAGTGAAATTGCTGAAGAAAGAACTTGGATCGTTTGTCTCTGCAAGGCTATGTTTTATTCGCTTTGTTGTTAGGACCCTCAAACGCAATTCCCTGATTCTATCGTCCAATACGTGGCACAATTATGGAAATGCAGTGGAAGACATAGTCGTACTAAAGCTTCGTGTCACAAATAAAACGGTACGTTTATATTTCAGTTACTAGCTGCGAATCTAGTGTGTTTTACCGTTATATGAGGTAATTGTTGAAAAAATACGGGAATGGGGAGATGGAAAATCCTGAAAGAGAAATGATTGAGGGGTTGGAACCAAGAGACCGATAGAAGGCACTTTTAAGGCCACGAATAATTTCATTTTAATTTTTACTCTTTAATTCGTTACAAATTTCATCAATAAGTTACTGTCATTCGCATCCCATACACGTTTTCTACAATGAAATGATTAATTATAAAATGGTAATTATTGTCTATTTTCTGAAAAGTGATATAAAAAGTAGATACTCTTCGAATGATCACGTTTTCTACATTTTCGATTACACTTCAGCCGTCATTAAGTCTAACATTAATTATCCATGTAATAGCTTTACAGTCGCATCTGTTCCGTTTCGTAGTTTTTCGGTAACCATACTGAGATTATTATGTATTCAACAAAAGTCCTTAGGTGAAATTCTGTGATTACGAAAAACGATCACACTATAATAATGACATATTAAAGAATAATAAACAGTGGCAATAGTATGGCATGCAGTTTACGCTATACTAAATTGTACTGACTCAAAATAATGAAAATGTACTTAAATACTTGACGAGTTTATCACAGTCTTTCCGTGAACGTAATACGTAGTATTATTTGGACATGATTAACGGTATATATGCATCATATCCGTCTTACTGAAGGTGCAAAATAAAAACAGAGTCATTCAATAGTACGTATTTATTTAATCGTATACATGAACATGTACAACAAGTACTAAGCCATGTGTCCTTCACTCATGAAAACATAAGAATACGTTTAGCCGTACAATTAAAAAACCTTTATTATCTGTGTTAAGGTTCATTTGTATTAGCACTGATCGATAAGTACTATCTGTTATCTGAGTATATGTCATTATTTTAACAGTGAATTAAAGGAAATAATCATTATACTCTTTATCTGTTTCATAATAGTAAATACAAACTTCAATAACACATTTACAATATTTTTTAGCTTGTCCAGCTGAAAAATATAGACTTTTAATTGTTATATCAAAACTAAACTTTGGTACAGCTAAATTTCAACTTATGTAATTGACCTCATTCGCATTTAGCATGTTTAATCGACCAAAAACTTAATAAGTCAGACCTAAGCCTGTTTAATAGCACTTAATACTACCTATACTATAATTACTTGTCGAAGATAGTTGCTATTAAAACGTTTAGCTGTTTCGGGTTTGATATTAAAATATTCCTACATTGGTAATTAGTACATAGAATTTGTCGGTGTCCCTCTAATATGTTTAACAAATAAATGAAATCACTAAAAAAATGATTTCTGAAGTGATTAATAAAAAAATTGTGAAGTTCAGCACATATCAGCAATATGTTGATTAAGCTACTTTACGATAAACTGAATGGTTTAGAGTAGACAATAACGAAATAGTCAACTTTAATTTTTTATATTTCAAATATTAAAAACGTTTGCATTCTAATTAAGGAATTGCAAAATTAAGATAATGACTTTGTCTGACTGAATACCTACAAAACATTTTCTACTGACATGACATAGAATAAACCCAACCTTATAATTCCCATGCACAATAAGTAATTTACACTGTTACATACACTAGTGGCCACATTGCAACTTGGTCGATAGGATTCGATCTGCATTAAGAAGGACCTGAAACACATGACATTAAACACCAACCAGTTGTAAATATGCATTAAACATTTTATTAGCTTTTAGGTTTAGTAATCACTATCATAACTAGAAACTGTCATACACGATAAATAGTTATCAGTTTTTCCCAGTTTAATTTTAATGATATACATGGTCTTTCTATTGTCACGATACCTGAAGACTTCAGTTCAATTTCTACATGATCGAGGATTTAATTCCAACTTTTTATCTCAATATCTATTCACAGCCAGAAGTATAGTCTTGCAGTTTAATAGAATTGATGTGTCTTTTTTGGAAGTTGCAATATTTATCAAAACGCGGATGGAACAGTGAAGAATTTTCTAAAATAAAATTCTAATGTGAAAATACAAATTTCGACTACCAATCAAACTATTATATGTTACTATGATTTGAGCTAACATTACAAAGATGCACAATTTACGACCAATTAACAAATTATTACAAGCAACAAAATGTTTGTCCATCAGCACATGAACACACGAAGACAAGTTAGCCAATCATTTGTTTTTAAATCTTTTTAATCACACTGGAAAAATTTTCATTACTGGGGGGTCAGCAATCATAACAACCGTGCAATAATTGCCAGCTAATAAGGACTTATGTACTTCTAACTACTACATAATATGTTAAATCTATCGTGTTGTGAATCAACGATACTCACTGTCAGATTCTACGTAGAAGACAGTGCTTCAGCTCGCGCATATAACAGTTGAAAGTAGATCGTAGACGCATAGATTAAATAGGCGTAATAAACCGAAAATGAGGATAAACCATGTTAAACATATATCTCTAATAAATATCAAGCATATATGTATACCTGTTTATGTGAACAGTCCAAAGCATATGTTTTATAGAAGTCAGTTGATGGGCCCAAGTGCTTCACGTCGACTGAACTCCGATCACATGGTTCTTCCCGCAAACTGAGAGCACCTGAACCAACTGTTGGTAGACAAGTAGTGAATACGGTTATCCGACCACCTACTGCACCAATCAACTTCAGAGCAGCCTGAAAGCAGATAATCAGAAATTCACCAAAATATTTTAGGTCCAGTTTAATGACTTCGATATTTATTATTGGTAATAAAGCCACTAGAAATTAAACTAAATATTTCAAGCTAAATACTTTAAGCACGGATGGGATAAGGAAACGAATATAAAATTATCAAAACATGACCATTCAATAAGAACGACAATAAATGATAATGACTCAAATCCAGTGGTGTGAACACAAGTGAGCTATCAACAAGCCGGCTGCTTAATAGCAACCATCTGATGTGTAATTAACGCTAAACAGGATTCGCGCAACTATACTTTATCTGGAAAAGTAGACATCAGATTTCTGTACACGGGAGCTGGTTATTTAAAAGAACTATACAATATTTGCATCTTTAGTAAATAATAAAAGGTTGGTTGTAAAAGACCGGTTTTCTAGTTATTGCTTGTAGTGTTAGAAGACAGTTGAAGTCTTATTTTAGATTGTAATGCTACGTTCGTATCAACAATAGAGCAAGCATTTGATTTCTAGGATAACTAAACCAGAGGTCAATAACTTTAAGTTCTATTTAAGTATTATCACATTTGAAGTTGATTGACGTTATCGATACAGATTTCGTAGTCAGGTGAATAAATTTTGGTGCTACTTAAAACACAATACACTATAATAAGTCCTTCGTTACTTTTTATAAACTAAGAATTTTGATATTTCATACATGTTTCCAATAAAATAAATGACTACAATTTTATTGGTTATTGTAAAATATTAGAATAATCAATATGAGCAAAATACTAGACTTATGAGTTATTTTAGTACGACCCAGCTACTCTTTTTATTTGATATTTTTGGACATTACTTCACTCGACAAGTCCCCAAATCATAAAACAGTTGAACATTTTAAAATTTTTTCTCAAACGGTGAAATTTTAATCTTTTTGAAAGTATTTTTTCGCTAAAAAATGGACTTCCAAGTTATATTTGGTAACGTCTACCATAAAATGTATTACAAGCAAGAATAATTGCTTTTTTATTGCTATGAACATTTTTCATGCACTATTTAGTAGGAAAAAACATTGTCCCTTATTACTTATAAGGACTGATTGTTAAAGTGACTGACAGCTATCCATTTACTTTGTTTTAAAAATGTGCCTATTGTCTAGAATAAAGAAGCACTTGAAGAATTGGGATATCCGAAAGAAACCGGTTACCGAAAACATGTTTGTGAACTGAAGTGTCTCCACGAAACTCAGTGATGTTACCTAACAGCTCAAATTGAAGTAGGTGGAAAGAAGTTCAAATGCGCGATCTACTGGTTGAAAACCGAATCCTATTTAGTCAGTGCTCCTGTACCAGTAAAATATGCAATAACTAGTATATTAAGTTGCTCAAATATATTTCACATTAATAACAAAATTACCTGTAAAGCAGATCCGAGACAATTTCCTGTGTCATTTGTACCGATAAAATTTTCAGGTAAATGCAGAAGAAAATCGCGTAGTGAATCAGCTGAATCTTCAACTCTATTAATCAAACCTTCATCATCAGGTAGAAATATTTCCTCTAAATCAGGACAAATTAACATTCTCATAGTTTCCCCTAAAGTAATCAAAAGTGAACAGAAGTTGAACAATTCAATCAATTAAGAACTACACTTAATGACTGATGGGTAAATTTTATTACCAGTTAATACAAAATAATTGTTTGGATGGAACTGCATAGAATTTGGTTCACTAGTAAATCGACGTTTAGTGTAGTCACAATAAAACAGAATGTAAGCGACACGGGAAAAGATATGACTATCAAAAGGCAATTAGCATAAGGTCTTGAATGAAGTATATTATTAAATAGGCAGAAAAAAGTCATCACAGAAGCAAGCAAAATAATCTGTCAGTACGGTTGGCCCACATTCGTAACACAAAAAGATTGAAAGGAAAAAAGTGCTTGAGAAACATTAGTCAAGCAAATAAAATAAATTATGAGTAATGAAATGTCCAAAATTTAAGAATAATGAATTAATGTACCTGCGCTATTACGATCAATTTTGAATTGTTTCATTTACTTTTCCGGACCACTAGATTTCATTACTATATAACCTTGTCTAAAAATTCCATACACCACACGATACAAAACAATGATTTGTGACTTCATACAACAATGACTTGTTTTCGTTTAGTTAGCCAATAGTTTTTCATTCTAATTCCCCTTAAACTGACAATACACAGAGGAGTAGGCTGATCTGGCATGTGTAAAACAGTAAAATCATCCAATTTGGCACAAGCTAACCTAATCGACCGCGCCTAGAGACTTTCACCTAACGCAAATATTATGGGTTAAGTAGCTTCATCATACATAAGCAACTCTTCACTGGATAGCACTTGGAAGCTTCTCTGGCTTCCTCATTAAGTCATGTTAGTTTCGATGTTACATCACTAAAGCCATCACTAGTCACTCCTGATTTATTGACAATCAATTGACCACCTCATCAGTCACTTGATTAAGTTTAGTTACTTTGACCCGTAACATGTATTTTATTCATTAAAATAACAAGCAGATACAGATGAAAATAGCAGGGTCATTTGACCTAAGAAAAGTATATATATATATATATATATATATATATATATATATATATATATATATATATATATATATATATATATATATATATATATATATGTTAAAATAATGTTGATAAAACTTACCGCAAAGTTTGTAATAGTGAACACTAGAATTAAAGGTCATAAAGGCTATTTGACGTCTGCAGTCACCTGGGATCCGATCAATCAACGCTTCTAAACGTTTGCAGGCAAGCTGTAAATAACCAGTAGCAATCGCATTATGACTAACATCAAAACAGAAAAGGTAAGTAGCTGGTTGAGGAGGACGTACTGTATATTCTGAAGGTGCAATAAATTCTACAGTAGCAGAACGAATTTCAGGTCTTCTAGAAGGGTCACCATAAGTTTGAGTTCCAGGGTCATAGTAAAATTCATCTGGGATAGTATTAGCCAGAAAGCAAACACTACATCTCCAGCGTCGACCGGAATCCATAAACTGTACGAATGGGTTGATATAAGTACGACAAGATCGACAACGTACTATGGTAGTTGAACTAATAGTGTGTAGACTACTCATATCTCGAAACGGATGCATAACAAGACCAAGAGGTAAACGACACTGAGTCAAAAGTTTTGAAGTTGATGGTACATTTGTTAACGTACATCGCATCACGTCTTGATCACAATTAATCTGAAAAATCAAAAGCATAACAAAGTACTGTAAAACCTATAAATGATGGTGAGTTTTAATAAAATACGTAAAATTAATCAGATGGCCTAAAAAATAACACTAAAATGAACTGGAGTGAAGATACTGGAAAGATTTATAACATATACACAAAATGATATGCATGACTACTAAACATAACCGTAGCATAACATCAGTTGGGTTTACAAAGTTCTTCAGAAAACGACTACAAAATAGTACCCAGTGAAAAGAATTTGAATCCATCGCTTGAAAACCATATTGATACCAAGGTGGGACTAGCCACAACAATAACGCGTGACCGTAACAGAGATTTTCTAGGTCTTCCCAGAAGGATAGATTATGGTATCCAACTTTATAAGTGACCATATATTTACAAGTAAGGACGTCATACACCACTAACTATTCAATGCACTTTTCAAAATTCTATCAAAACGTTCTAAACCTAGTCCCATTAAGAACAAGAAAATAAGTGTACACAAATTACACAAAAATGTCGTTCCTGATAAAGTGACTAAGCGTAGCAACAAATTCACAAACATGGCTCCTAAAACAACACACTCTGATAAGGGAAACTGTATGCGCTAATTAGATTACTCCACACAATATCAAACAGACTAAATGTAGTAATTAAGAGGATGACAAAGATGTCCAATCATATCTACGAACCATCTTAACAAAATAAATGCAAGTATTGAACCTTATTCTGATTAAAAAAGGGCTACATAAACGAACAATCATACAATGGTTAATAGTCTAATCTCGATAACCGTTTGATGATCACCAATCAACTATTTGTCCAAGCATTTGTCTAAGAACATCAAATATTAAACGGGAATAACATTTTAATAATCAACAATGAAGTCATTATATTCACCGACCACCATCCCCAAGGATTTCTTCTGACAATCCCTTACGATTGGTCACTCTCGGGTAAAAAAAATGCAATGCTTACTGGAGTAGTCAATGCAGGTTTGGGTGGTAGATCAGGTCCATCTGATGGTAACAAACAACGTTCTTGAAGGAGGTTGATTGGTGTTTTTAAACTGCTCCAGTCAGATATAGACGCTGCAGTTCCTGGTGTTCGAAAAACACTAGATTGTTCATAAGCTGTATGTCGAGGTATGGTAGACTGTATAGTATTTCCAGGTCTTGGAAGAGGTGGTTGTGGGTTTTGATATGTTGTATTATTGGTCATCATGGGAACTGGAGGTAATGGTGGAGTCATTCCATACGATCCAACAGAATTAGAAATTGCATGTGCCTCATTCGTGACACGTGGTGGGTAGAGACTAGGCAATTTAACAGATGGGTCCATATTATAAGCTGTTGTGGAAGGTAGTACCTTCTGTCCAGGAGTAAGTGTTCTTGGATTTGGGGGCAACATGGGACTAGGTTTATCGAATTGAGGATTAAGAGATGAATGTTGTTGTTGTTCACCATAAACTTGAGAAACTGCTTGCATATTGGTAAACTCTGATGTGGGATGACCACCTGAATTTAACGGAACAGGCGAACGACACTCGAATTTTAAAGGCTGAGAATAACCAGTGTAGTCACACGCAGAAGTGGAACCACCTAGCGAAGTATAAACCTGATTATTTTCCATAGTAGGTGAATGTAATGGATTATAAACCGACGGATTGTATTGATTAGATGCATTAAAATCCGAGTAAGAACTTGCATGAAAGGATGAACATAAATTATTTGGTTGTGTAGGTGAATTGGAAACAGTAGTTGTGGTTGGAAAAGACTGCAAATCTGGATTTGTTTCATACGACCGAGGCGGATGAAAACCTGTATTACAAAAAACGTGAAATAAAGTACAAAATGACAATCTTTGGACGAAATCGAGGCCTTACAACCTGTATGGATATTTAGTGAATCATGCAGAAGAAATAAAAAGGCGATTGCTTAGATACATTTAACTGACCAGCTGAAACATAAAACAATTCATCAATCTCAAAATGTCAATACAGCTCAACAAGCAAAACAAACCATATAATGGACTATGGATCAGACTTGAGTGTGACACTTGATTACATCACCAACCTGCATGGAACCAAGGCAATTAAGTGAATATAAACTTATATGATCCAATATGTGTTAGGTGTCACATGTATAAACACTTCTGCTTGAAATAACATTGAAATTTTAGCACAAACAAACTTAGCATATAGTACAGCATAAGCATGCACTTGAGCGATAAATCTTCACGACCATCTCATCACGTAATTGACGTTTGATCAACTACTTATCCTACTATTAAAACCTAGTTTTTTGAGTTACGGATATGTTTTACACTATATGGTGAAATTAGGTACATTGCAAAAATATGATTCTTTAGCAGTCTGTTTCCATCCTCTTGTAAACAGCATCGTATGGGGGCAATAAATAAAATCTATCTTATGTCAACGAACGTCAATGACACATTTTAAAGTAAATAGAGGTTTAAATATATATAACAGGACATGTTACCTTCTGATGTAGGCCTAGTGGTAGGTATGTACGCTAAATTCGTATTATTGGTAGTAACAGGTAGACTATTTATACCATAATCAGTTGTTGTTGATACAAGCTGTGGAACCGAGCAATTTAGTTGTTGATTTTGAGCTTCTGAAGGAATAGTGAATAACCCGAATGATGGTGTGGAATTCTGAAAGGATTCATTTGAATTACGTCCTTCCATACAATTAAGAGTATTCAGATAACCCGGATATTGACAAAGATCTGTTGTTGATTGTGTTAATCCCCTGTTAGCCTAAAATACACAAGTAAAGAGTCGTTAAAAATTATCAAATACTTATGAAGTGGAAAGGCGATAACACTAAATCCGATCCAGTTAGGACAGACTGAAGAGTCAGCTAGTGTTAATAGTCACTACATCTTTTGTGTACCTCAAGACTAAGTACAAAAATTTATACTTAGTATATGAGTTATATCAACGAACGAATTTGAGATGGTTTCAACAGACAAGTCATACTATGCTGGTTTGCAAAAGACCAGGAAACAACAACTGTCAAATAACAACAAACAGTGACTCGTTAATTCACACAATCGATGTTCTCACAAGGATATTCATGTTTTTTAGGTTAAGCTTTCTTTTGAAAACTTCACACTACTAGCCACACCTAAGACTAGGATAAATTCTATGTCATAGTTCCTAATTGAGCATTGTATTACAAAGGGTACGAAAGTAGTAATGAGGAATAGTGAAGCGATAGTTTAATGTTCGAAACGTTTGTCTCCCAACAATGTTCCATCTATTAAGATTTTAAAGGCCAAGTAGTACTAACAACCTAGATATTCTAAACAGGCTTGTAGATATACATTTTCACTCAGGAACACAAAGTGATAGAACAAATTACTGAAACCAAAAGGTTTAAATGGAGAGAAACGTGAATCACGGAAAAAGACGCATGAAAATTTCTGTTTGTTTGGTGACAAACGCCATAAAATACTTGAAAACAGTCAGTTAACATATTTCTACAGAGAAGTAAATTATAAGATTTGGGGATAAATGAAATTAATTCTAATCAAAATTATCTCGATCCGTCTTCAGCTCCAGGTTTTTTCTAGCTTTTACTTTACGCATGACCAGTTTTACTCTTAGATCTTAGTTGTTACCATGCAGATCGCTATACTTGTCTCAGAGCTTTCAGAGATGATGAATAGCTAGTCAACAAAATAGATTTATTCAGTATTCATCAACGTGATTAGTTGGACGGACAAACTAAACATGTTTGCTGTGAAGTACATATATAGTCATGAAGAGTGGAAAATAGGTGGTCATAGGTACCCGATCGCAACTTTACCTAATGTTGGCGCCTAACGGAACTACCAAATAAGAAATGACGGAGCGCTATGAGAGGAATGTCATTGGAAGTTGCTAGCTCGTACTGACTTGGATAACTGGGTAGCACTATATATCCCTAACAAAAGTCTAGGCATGTGTATGAAGTTGATTTAAATAAAACTAGGTTGAGTGGCGCCGGGGAATGAATTTACTGTTTGTTATTTTACATCACGTGGAGTATAAACTGTCCAGATAGTCCTAGTTTAGTGGCTGAGAACGTTACATGACCTGGGCGAAAAAGGAATGCGACGAAACAAACCGACCCACTCTTGTTTGAAATTTTATGACTCGATTAAAGGACAGCGAGCCCCTGGCTTTCTCAGACCAGTCCAAAAGAAATAATTTGAATGAGATAAAACAAACCAAGTTGTACTCGAACCCCACATCTGCAGCGATTGGAAACTGCACTGTCAGGTAATATTGGAGGATACATGATCATAACATACAGATAATTGGGGTAGGTTAGGTTCCTGAAGCAAAAACGAAATGTAGGTACTTGATTAAAATGACACTAAACACTCGCCAATCCCTTTAGATCCTATTGTAAGGTGGCGCTGTGCCACCGCCTAAAACGATGTGGTGGTTTGTGCCCTTGCGGTCAACACAACTATGTAAAATTACCTATCGAATGTTAAAGACAAAAAATAGGTATTTCATTGAGAATATCAGTAGCGTCAGTACATATGGGAGATTCCGGGTTAACGAAGAAAGAGAAAACTTACATAACAGAAATACTTTTGGACCTAGGGACTCGAAGGATGCAATCGTCACTCCCATACATAAAACAGGATCAAATAACTTCCATCGAACTACAGACCTGCCAGTATCGTAGTTAAAATAATGGTAAGAATAGTCGAAAGACCATGACATTTGTGAAAACCGACTTGTTAAACATCAAACATGGCTTCAGAAATGGTTTATCTAGCACAACAAACCTTATATCAAGGGAGCATTGGACAAAGAAGATAGACAACGGTTACTGACTGGATGCCGTCTACATAGACTAAAGCAAAGCATTTGAAAAGTGCCAACAAATAGACTGCTACTGAAGTTTGAAAATCTTCGTATTGCCGGACCTCCGAAAATGGTTTGAGGATTTCCTAGTAGGTTGTAGACAAAAAGAATAAATTCCAAGTGCTCCACCTGGAGACCAGTAATTAGTAGAGTACCTGAAGGTTCTTTCCTACGTCTTTTACTTTTCATACTATATGTAAACGATCTCCCAAGTATAGTAGGGTCCCTAATGTTAGTGTACGCTGACGATGTAAAAATCTGATGAGAAATAACTGGAGGCGCAGATGCATGCGCACTTCAGGCAGACATAAATATTGTGATTAACTGGTCTGAGTGGCTGATACCTATCAATGCGGCAAAATGTGTCTACATGCACTTCGGGGATACATAGGTTAATAGGTACAGAATATGAGAAGTGCCTGTACCGATGACCTGGTCTCATAAGGATCTTGGAGTGACAGTGAGTCATGATCGTATGACGATCGTCCCATTGCTGATAGTCGCAACTAAGGGGTTTAGAACCCTATGGGCTTTAAAACTGACATTCACTAAGTCGAATACTACCATGTTCACTACAGCGTACACAACCTTGGTGAGAACTAAGCTTGGATCGTGGAAGGCCGGTTGTTTATCGAGACATCATCAATTAAGAAGTCAGCACTTACTTGTGGGGTACATGAAAGACCCTCATTGTTGCTAAACAAATGCTGTTGCTTGAGTGGGTCTTTATGCGAGAAATCATTCCAGTTGGTATTTGGTATTGAATTTCCAGTGTAGTTTGCTTGAGGGAAATACGGCATTTCAGGATTATTCATGTCGTGAAGTCTGTTTTATACGTATGGCTATATGTTAATGAGCTTTAATGTTAGGTATTCTAAAAATAAAAGCCACTTAAATACTTCTTTGTGACTACTAACTGACGAACATACTTGATTAAATAACCCTGAAGCCGCACCACGTTAAACAACATCGTTGGTAAATTAAAAATACTTGCCGCTCAATATTCAATTCGGGTTTGTAACTCAGTTGAGCAAAATGACTGGCCTGTGGGCTCTATGGAATGTGTCTGGATTACAGGAGATGTCCCTTTTGCATAAACATGTTCAGACTTTGTTTCGTTTTCTGGAAATCCGAAAGAAATATTTTTTAAGTGAAATTGATTGATTGGATTAACTCGATCAATATTCCTTGTGCAGCAACTGTAACTGGTCAGACATGTGTCAAGCTAAGCCCCTATTCTCGTCATATCAAGTTGAGGAAACTCTCAAGTAATTTTGTTTGTGCTCCTTTATGTTTTCTTCCTAAGATTTAGTCCTAGATACGTTTTCTGATAATAAGAATGGATGACGGAGGTCTTGGACAATACAAACTACTTTGGAGGTGCTTATTTAGCTTCGACAAGATAGAAGACTTCGAAATGGGTCTAACAAATATAACAGGAGGATAGTTTCTGTTTTTACTTAAGCATGTTGAGGTACTGATTCCAATCCTGATCTCTCAACAACTTTGAGAGACGAAATAAATTTTCGCAAACATGGTAGTTTTTTAGCTTTAACAGATACTCCTATGTAGAGAGTATCGGCCAAGGATTATCATCAAATCAGTGCCCGATCTAAAGTGGGATGTTTCTCTTCCTTCAGATAACTATTTTGAAATCGGCAATCTTCACTACATATATCGGCGATCGAATGTACTATCCTCACCCATTACCTTCGTCTTATAAACTGGTCCTCAGAGCAAAACACAAAGAAGTACTACAAAATCTTCAGAGGATCGTTTATTCTGAATTGAGTACATCTTCAAAAATATACTTTAACGAGATTTATATTTAGAATTTACTTAGAACATTGCGTTATGGCACTATTGTCTTCCAAGTAGATGTCTAGCCGTTCTGAAAAGCACGAAAATCAGACATTCTGTAACGAAATGAATTCATTTCAATTCAGGTGCTATAGCAGTTTCTCCAAAGCCGAAAGAAAATACAATCAATACCTGCTCTTACACCTGACTTGAATGCAAAAGTATAAACTCATTAGCAAATAATCTAAAGATTCAACAATGGTTTAGAATTTGACAACGCCTTTACGTACAACATCTTTGTAATTGCAACATACCAACTCAGACAAAACGGAAGTCAAAAATAAAGAGACTCAAAAATATATTCGGAGCGCTATCGATATATCATGAAGCATTGTATCTAGACTAGTTAGTGGTTAAAAGGGATGATTGTCACGTCGTATTCACTATAGACCTGGTGCATATGCGTGACCGATCGCCTTCAGCTGAATGAGTCCAGTAAAACTAATATGGTCAACACCAATGTTGAAGATTTACAGGACCATTCGTTTCAAAGATTTCTTTGCTGCTACCACTCACTACACATCCACTAGGGTTGTGATGACCCTCAAACGTGGACAGTCACAAGTCAGAGCCCAATGAGCCTGTTGTGGTAAACACTCATCTAATGGTTTACTATGTTCGGTAGCATCAGGTCGTACATTCCAAATAATCGGGGCCATGTGCTACAACACAACAATAAAAAATATCCATCGAAAATTTCCTTTGTCTCTTCATCATCTTTTCCAGTAGTTCTAGACAAAGAAAACAAATAAATTTTAAGTGCGTGTCAAAAGCACTCGTACGTGAGTAATGACACAAAACGGGCGAGATAAATAAAATTAGACTGGTATATATACAGAATTATGGTCTAGTTCGTCATTTGTACTGCTGTAATACTGAACCTAAATTGTGTACGAAAAAGAAGAGACGAGAAGCAGATCAGACAATGTTCATCAAGGAATAGTTAACGTATGAATACTCAGTCTAAATCTTTTTTATTAAAGTGTTTATTAAGCAAGAGCATTCTAATAGGGTAATGAAAATAAGTGTAAACAAGTCCAGAGTGGATAAACAACTGACAAATGGAGGCGGTTCAGAAAGTAACTGAGAGTATGAGAATATGTAGTTATAAAATATAATACTGAAGACAGTATGCTGACGCACAAATGGTTGTCTCCCTTTTTTCTCGAAGCCATTTGAGCCCATTTTTCGTAGATCTTAAAGGGCCTTGAGTAGGCTTCGTTTTTAGCCGATCGTATAGTTTGCATGTAATGAGATTATTCGGTAGGAAGTGAAACCAATTTAGAGTTCTAAGTACGATTTAATGGGGTATTTTGCATAATAAATCAGCATCAGTACCACTAGTTCGTGACATTCCATTAGACCATAAGGAGACGTAACTGAACACAGTGTTCTGCCCTACAGATATGGATGGATTGAAATTATCTCCCCACCATCATGTTTGCTGATCAGTAATGCCACCCTCCCTCCTTTTGTGATGTTAGGCTCTCTTACGTTTGTGGTAAGTATGAATATTGCTTTGATCTAATCCCATAGTTGGAATACACTGTCTCTACTAGTTCCATGTTACAAGCAAATCAGATAGTTAAAGCGTTTGTATTATGGGTTAGACATTCACTCAGTATATATGTGGTTTGAAGATAGTAAAGACTGATGGGAAATCGAATGATATGAACGGGTTTAAAAACCTGGAAGCCCTGTACGACAGTTCCGTCCTATTTAGGGACTCCACATCCACGATCCCGCTCGCGGGATTCGGAACCCAGAGCCTTGAATCTTGCGTGCGAACACTCAACCTACTGGACCACTGAGCCGAAATAACACCCTCCCTCCTCCTTGTTGGCAGCGACACCGAATGTAGTGAACAGAACACCAGTGGGGGACAATGGAATGGAGCTGAACCTTATCAACTTTGCTATTATCAATGATAGGTGCATTTCAACTCACTACACCACCCTCCTTCTTGTTATGATGGATGTCTTGATGACCCAAGCATAGTCACATCGCATCGCGTTGTTTTAGAGGCAGTTTAAATGATCCTCTCGATCCCCCATAGTGTTAGATCATTCTGTGAATCTATATTACTTGTTGATCTTCTTGTCGAAAAAGAGGGTCAGTCTCGTGGGTTCAGAAGAACCTCAGCTTTCATCATGTGATGTCGTAACTCTTTTATACAAAGACTATTTAACTCTCAGGTCTGAGTTTAAAAAAATAATTGGTTAACTAAAACTGACGCTTTTTTAGTGAGGCTATATCCGACTAGTTGCTTTAATGCTTTACTATTTCAGTGGTTAAGATCATGAGTCAGTTGAAGCTAGACCACCATGGAAATCCTGGAAGCACTATTTGTTCAACTGGTATGTTCATTTGAAGTTTTGTTTGAGTTAATTTATCCACTGTGATATTTAGAAACACATCAGTGCACCTGGAAGCTGTGTTAGTGATCGTAATGCAACCCGAAGTCCTGATTAAGTTCTTTAAAGTCTGATTCAATAAATGTTTTATCCTCATGTGGATGCCAGTGCACCAATTAAATATTCGTGTTTTGAAGTAGCTGAAAAAATTCCTTAATACATTACTCTATTTTTCCCTGTGCCGAGAAACCCCTCTGACGCTAAATCACCGCAGTTCTTAAGTAAAACTCAGTTAGAAAGTGGAAAAGAATAGAGAGAAAGCTTAAGACATGGGTTTTAGGATCATGTATAATCAATAGAAAAAAGCTTATGATTGCCGATAGTTTTAAAACTTCAAGTTTTATCTGTCTAATTGAACCTGATTACTGGATTATGTTGACCAGATAGACTATTTTACAAAATACTTACAAGGGACTTAACGATACTGTTCATCGCATTTACGTGGTATAGCATGTAATCCGTGGATTTAAGATTACATGACATATACTGAGGAAACTATGAGACATTTCTATGAACAGTTCTCTCGAGAGTAACTGATTTTTGAAAATTTATCGTCGAATGAAATAGGAAAGTGTGTCAAGCATAAACATTACTTTAAAAAGGTTGCCAAATCTTTGCACAACAATGTTTAAGGGAAAGTTCACCGCTTTAAAGTACAAAACTCAATGGCAGCATTCAGAAATTAACTTTCCCCCACCATATTGTCTGCAACTTCACACTCATCCCTCCACAGTCCTGTAGAACATTTAACGTGTAAGCAGTTGCCTGAAAGAGTAGTCTGTTGAACTATGGTCTAGGTTCGTTATTAGTACTGCTATACTGATAGACCTAATCCCAAAATTGTAGATTAGTCATGATGTGACTACCTAATCTATAAGATTCTATGAGACTGTATAATTACGGTCTACTATGCTATTAGTAATGCTCTAATAATAGACATAATCCATAAATTGTAGATTTGTCATGATGCAACTGCCTAATCTATAAGATCTTACGTGGAAGTTACATCATCGTCTACACCAACTCATTGCATTGTAACAATTACCAATACGTGGTAGAGAACAAGCTTAGGCTAGAGATAAAATATATTTGATATGAATAAAAAAACAAGATAACATTCAGCTGGGACCACGCTTGCATGACCGAGGCATGCCATCCGACTAACTCCTTTATTCAATTCATTATACCCGCCTTTTTCCATTCTTCTGTATTTCTACGCGTTAAATTCAGCATGTTTATTTCGCATATTATCTCGCGGTAGGGCCCAATGCCACTACAAGACAGCCCCGTCATTGTTTACTTTGAAGATACCACAGGTATTTTGAGTTTCACAACGCTTAAACCAGTAACACATTCTAATAGGAATCGTACTCGCAAAGTGAAATCAAAAGACAGAAGCGAGGAGTTTTGAAGATACATTTGATAGGCTGTTAATATATCGTGGATCGACTAATCTAATCTGGCTAGCGATTGCAGTAGATGTTGAGCATAGCGTTCCCAATAGTGATCTGGTGCGGATGGACGACCGAGCGCCTTCAGCTAGGTGATTCCAGCAAAACTAATATAGTCAACACTAATGTCGATGACTTACAGAGCTATTTATTTTAGGGGTTTATTTGCCGCTACAACGTTGACTTGCCGTATCGTTAGAATCAGTAATATAACGTCTAGCACTTCTGAAGAACACATTTGAATAACAAATTTAATG